TGCAGCTCAGAGAGAATAGGTGTAACATGGGTGTATCTGGGTACACCCATTATCGCTTGCGCGGCTGCATTCTGGACCAGCTGTAGTCTTCGGACACTCTTCAGGGGCAGCCCCATGTAGAGTGTGTTACAGTAATCCAGTCTTGAGGTGACGAGGGCGTGGGTGACCATTCGAAGTGCCTCCCAGTCCAGATAGGGCCGCAACTGGTGCACCAGGCGAACCTGGGCAAAGGCCCCCCTGGTCAAATGGTGATCAAACATCAGCTGTGGATCCAGGAGGACACCCAGATTGCGGGCCCTCTCCGAGGGGTGAATAATTTCACCCCCCAGGCTAAGAGGTGGAATGGCAGGACCATCTTTGGGAGGCAGCATCAATAGCCACTCGGTCTTGTCTAGATTGAGTGCAAGCTTAACTTAACAAATGTAGCAAGGAAAGTCGTAAAACAGGGCAAAACTCACTTAACAAATTTTCCACTAACTTTCCATAAATTATGACATTCAGCACTGATATACTACAGAGAACAAGCAGGATCTGATTACAGAAAACCTGTGTCTTTTATAACCAGATCATTACTACTTTAGGATTGAATTCTAACCAACCCAGTCTTCAACATTTCCACAAACATCCATTTAACAATAGTTTCTTGCAATGTAAACTACCCTTTTAGAAGCTACTGTATCTAACCACAGACACTTATCGTGTATGATAAGAAAAAAAAAGTTGCAAGCAAAAATGACATTTTTTTCAATAAATCTGTAAGTGAACAAAAGCTGACACAACTCCACAATTTGGTACAAATTTAAACATTACAATTTTCTGCAAAAAAAAAAAAATCTGCTAAAATTGCCCCAAACTGGTAAGATCTACAAAACAGAATCAATGGATCACTATAAGTAAATTACAGTCTAAATTGGAATAATTGTCCATAGTACACCATGGATTTATTTTATTTATTCATTTATTTGTATCCCACCTTTATTATTTTTATAAATAGCTCAAGGGGAAGACATACCTAATACTCCTTCCTCCTCCCCTTTTTCCCCACAGCAACTCTGTGAGTTGGGTTGGGATGAAAGAGAGTGATTAGTTAAGCCTGATAGGACAATTCACCATCTAAAGTCAGCAAAAGAAAATCTTAATAACATTTAGAAACAGTGATTTGGACTGAAGACACAATCACTGAACTATATAGGCTACACAGCATTCTTTTGAAGATAAGTTTAAGTATCGGGGTGACTCTATTATGCTTTGGGGTTGCATCACAGCTAATGATAAAATATTGTACATATGAGGAAGAAATGGATTCTACTAAGTATCAACATATTCTAGAAGTCAGAGCAGAGGCCAGCAGTCAATGAAAAAACTGAAGCAGAAAAGAGATTGGCTATTTCAACTGTTAGGAATATAATCTAATGGTTGGGTTGGCAATAAATAAATCATGTAACAATGCTGTACCTGTTTCTTTAAATCATACTGTAAAATGTGATTGGAAAAACTGTTTCCTCAATCTGCCATAAGAGGGTGCCAGAATGACTGTTAGCTGTCTGTTCATTAGATGCTGGGCTGATTTGATCTGTGCCATGAGCTATTGTGAGTTTTGCAACTGTTAGAAAACTTTGAGTACCGAACAGATTATATGATACTGGACTATGTTATTTGGATTATCCCTTAACTGAAAAACGTTGATGACTGACTGAATTATTCGTGTATGACTTGGACTGTTTGATGGACTCTGATACCTCTATTTCCACGAAAGTAAAAGCCTATTTAAACTGCAGTGTCTCTGTATGCTGGTTTGTGTGTTCTCCAACACAACTCTCACAATGCTTCACTGAACGCACTCGCTCTCCCAACAGGGCCTTTACCTAACACTCATCATCATCATCATCATCA